ACTTTACATAGTCAATAGAAATAATATCATTTGTGATCAATTATCGAACAGTATTATGTCTATGACAAATATGTCTAGATTTACCTTTATACATGTTGTTTTGTGAGCTTCATATAGCACCTTGGCTATCACAATGCATTACCACAATCCAAGATGGAATATTTGATAAAATGGCTCATAGTCATTCGATTTCTTCACCAGCTTTGTCTAAATCAATGAACTCGGATTCCATTGTGGACCGAGCTATACAAGTATATTTTGTGGTTTTTCATGAAACAACAGCTACTCCACCAAGTGACAAAAGTCAAGATTCGAAGAGGTCACAACAACAACAAAGTTATGTACCAAGTGTTGGTGGTGGCTTCGGCTGGCTCGGCTCGGCCCATCTCGGGCCTGGGCCTTGGATATTGGACCGTGGTTCTTGATACTTAATACTTGACAATTGGACTGTGGGCTGGACTTGAGCGGCCTTAGACGATCTGGGCTAGTGTTGGGCATGGACATTTCGCCCAGGCCCCTATCCCCTGTAATCTTTTTTATGCAAATTGTGGCTCAATATAAAAATCCAAAATGAGTTGGATTTGGACTTGGGTTCTGAGCCGTCCTGTGTGGACCTCTTCAGGTACAATGTATCGGATCATGTTGACTCCACTTGGCTGTTTCGAAAGTTATCATATAGAGTGATGGTGTGTTAAGAACTGAAAATGGTCATGCTGTTTTATGCCCATTACAACAGTCACGACTGGATTGCCTGCCTTAGTGGCCGCTGACCTTTGGTCCTTTTTGCCTGAGCTGGAGCCTGGAAGTCACGGACTTATCTAGAGGTGGAGAAAAATACACCATATACATCGTCTGCATCTTACTCTCTAAGAGTCTCACGCATCATATCACAACTTCACAAGTTTAGTTCTCGGCTCTATTAGTCTCGTTTGTCGGAACTCGGAAGTCTGGTGTGCTACAGCCGTCGAGACGATTGTCGTTGTATCTTTGTGAACAAGAAGCACAAACCTGTTACTACCATACGAGCGTATTTGTCTTGCGAAAAAAGATCTTCTTGCCTCGACTTTAACCTTTTTGTATACTGTAATTTTTACTGAACACTTCAGTTTATAAGATTCCTTTATAATTTGACTCTCAATTTTGTAACATTTTTTAAACACAATAATTAATCTCAAGCTACTATTAACGAACGGCAAATACGGTAGCTGGTTGCTTTTTTTTTTTTTTCTTGTTATATCCATCAAATTAAATAGCAGCTCATTCAAACTTGACAAACCTCTCAATTAATTATTCATATAGCCCAATGGCTATACATACACAGGTTAACGAGTCAAAAAGTTGAAAGCTGCCTGCATGTCACTGTTTTTAACGTGACTAATTAATTGAGAGGTTTGTCAAGTTTGAATGAGCTGCTGTTTAATTTGATGGATATAACAAGAAAAAAAAAAAAAAGCAACCAGCTACCGTATTTGCCGTTCGTTAATAGTAGCTTTTGGAGATTAATTATTGTGTTTAAAAAATGTTACAAAATTGAGAGTCAAATTATAAAGGAATCTTATGATTTGAAGTGTTCAGTAAAAATTACAGTATACAAAAAGGTTAAAGTCGAGGCAAGAAGATCTTTTTTCGCAAGACAAATACGCTCGTATGGTAGTAACAGGTTTGGATTTATTTATTTATTTAAAAATAAAAAAAATTAGTGGAGAAAAATAAAAAAAATAAAAAAAAGTGGAAAAAAATCAAAAGGCCGGATTCTCGGAATCCGTTTTTCCTTGAAAAACGGATTTTGAAACTCCGTTTATATTTATTTATTATTTTTTATTTTATTTTTTTTTTTGTTAAAAAACGGATTTTCAAAATCTGTTTATATTTTTTATTTTTTTATTTATTTTTTATTTATTTTTTAATTAATAGTATTAAAAAAAAACTTAAAAACGAATTTTAAAAATCCGTTTTTATTTTTTATTTATTTTTTAATTAATATAAAAAAAACTTAAAACGGAATTTGAAAATCCGTTTTTAATTTTTATTTTAATTTTTTGTTTTTTAAAAGATAACGGGTGATTACACTATAATTAACTGAGATTGTACTAATTCGACTTCAATTGGACTATTCGAGTTCGATTACACTATAATTGACCGAGATTGTATTAATTCGACTTCAATTGGACTAATTCGAATTCGATTACACTATAATTGACCGAGATTGTACTAGTTCGACTTCAATTGGACTAATTCAAGGTCGATTACACTATAATTGACCGAGATTGTACTAATTTGACAATCTCAGTCAAATATATTGTAATCGAACTCGAATTAGTCCAATTGAAGTCGAATTAGTACAATCGCGGTCAATTATAGTGTGATCGAACTCGAACTAGTCCAATTGAAGTCAAATTAGTACAATCTCTGTCAATTATAGTGTAATCGAACTCGAAATACTCCAATTGAAGTCAAATTAGTACAATCTCGGTCAATTATAATGTGATCAACCTCGAATTAGTCCAATTGAAGTCAAATTAGTACAATCTCGGTCAATTATAGTGTAATGGACCTCGAATTAGTCCAATTGAAGTCAAATTAGTACAATCTCGGTCAATTATAGTGTAATCGAACTCGAATTACTCTAATTGAAGTCAAATTAGTACAATCTCGGTCAATTATAGTGTAATCGACCTCGAATTAGTCTAATTGAAGTCAAATTAGTACAATCTCGGTCAATTATAGTGTAATCGAACTCGAATTACTCCAATTGAAGTCAAATTAGTACAATCTCGGTCAAATTGTGCTTCTTGTTCACAAAGATACAACGACAATCACAACCATTTTGACTCAATGGTTGTGAAAAGAAAAATGGTTTTCTCTAAGCGTTGCCATGTGTTATGAACCACAACGCTTACGTCGGCGACCGACCGAAGTTTGACTCAATTTCGAGGGGCAAGGCATCCCTACACCGGTAATTGCCAGCCGCCATTTTGGAACAGTGATGATGGCGGCTAAGACGGCGGCGGTGTCTGGTGGGTGACCTGATAGGTTTTTGTGGAGTTTTATCATTTTTCTTTTACTACCATAACACATGGCAACGCTTAGAGAAAAAATTCATCAGCAAAGCAATCACAACAGTACAAGCAGAGAAAAATCATCCTTCAAGTCATCATAAATATCATAATGTACTATAACCATACAGATCCAAAAACATGAAGTAGATCGGTTATAAATATCACCCAAAGTTGCCTCTGAACTTTGCTCCTTCAACCGAAAGGGTGCCCACTGCAAAGTCCCATTCATTTCCAGAGCCTGCTTGAAGGCATTCCAATATGCTATACTATATCCACGAAATCACAATATATCAACCAATGGCACAAAACAGATCTTAGAATGCAAAAAATTGAAAGAAGTAATCCCTACAATTGCGGTGATTGTTTATGGATTCAACTATTTTTATTTGTTTTTTTTTTAACTACAGTTAAGTTTAAAAAAAAAGATGATATGGTTAGTTGTTAGTGGATATATTAAAATAATATTTAAATAAAATAATTAAAGTTGATTTGATGTAAAGTAAGAAAAGAATGATTGAAAATGATGGTCAGCTAAAATTATGTGAGTGGATAAATAGTGAATTAAAGTTGTGGTGATGTGTAAGAATGATTGGTTAATATTATTTAATTATATTAATAATTTTGCGGATAGTGAAATTGGATTAAAGTTGAGTTAAATTTGAGTTTTGATTGATTTTTTTTTACTGTAGAAATTATATCCAATCGCTCCCAAAGCATTTCAAAAGGTATTGAAAGCAGAACACAAATATCATAATCTAATAGCTAACAGAGCATAGAATGGTAGAATAGAAACATTATGCGGTTTGGTTTTGTGTCCGAAGGGTGCGGTTTTAACCGAACCGCACCGAATATGTTAAAAGTGTGTTTTTTTTTGTACCGTACGTAGCAAGCTCTTGGACCTTTGATTTGGGCCATTTGGTTTTAATAAGTAAAGTGAAGTAATAATACAATAATAATTAATAAATAATTTAAAACACTACCTGTGGTTTTGGGCCTAGTTTTTCCATTGAAGAAAATGGACTCCACTTTCATTTTAAGTTCGAATTTCTCTCTCTCTGCTCAAGTTCAGCTCTCTCTCTCTGCCTTTCACGCAGATATAGGAGAGTGTATTCAATTGGGATTTCAAGTGACATTTTAAGACTTTTTAAGATTTGAGATTTGTTAAGATTTCTAGATTTTGGAGAAATTCCGTAAAATCTTAAGTCTGGAGGTAGGATTTCAACTAGGATTTCGTATAAGGTTTTTTATTTAGAAATCCCACTAAATCTTAAAAAGTCATAACAAATCCTAGTGTCAAATAAATTAAATACCTCAGAATTTTGTAAGACTTTTTAAAATCCCAATTGAATACCCCAATTTAAAAGTCTTTACAAATCTAAATTGAATACACCAGGATTTCTAAAGTCTTAAAAAGTCCTTAGAAATCCTAATTGAATACACCCCTCATAGTCACGCCGCAGCCCATCTTTCGATTTATCTCGTCTCTCACTCTCCGTCGCCGGCAGTCCATCCTTCGACTCGCTCGTCGTCACCGGCCTCAATTTAGGTCACCTCTCACTCTCAGTCTACTTCTTTCCTTTTCCCATCTCGTCCTTTTTCTTCAGTGACCAACAACCCTAATTTTACTTTTCAATAAACTTTGGGTAAATTTTATATGTTAAGCTTGTTATGCAATTTGGTGGGATTAATTTCAATTGGACCAGTGTTCTTCGACAATGGCCATTTTCAGTCGGTTAACCGAAACCGCACCGAACCGAACCCAAAATTTTGGTGCGATTTTGGTTCGGTTTTTCCTCAAAGTTCGGTGCGGTTCGGTTTGAACAAATGTACATTTTCGGTGCTCACCCCTAACCATGAACGAAAAAATACAGCATCATCGTATAATGTTCTCCACAAATAAATTAGAGTGAAGCATCATTAATACATAACAAGACACAAGAGTTTCAAAACAAATGTGGTCATGGCGAAAGCGAAACAACGGCGTGCGGCAGAGGGACGGTGGTCAGAGAAATTGGATAGGTAATTTTGAAATTTGAAGTAATTTAAAGAGATTCACACAGTAGCGTACAAGTTGGGCGGAAATGGAAATCTCGGGAGGAAGAAAGAAAACAGAAGAAATAAAGATTTAACTGCTTTGCTTGCTACTCTGATATGGGAAAATTGAGGTGAACGTTGTAAAAAAATAGGCTGGAAACAGTTCAGGTACACAACGCCGCACTATTTGAACTGAACAAACTCGAAATTTTGGTTTAACCATATGCTTGTGGTGATACATAACCAAATTTTAATCGTTAATTGAAAATCAGTTCTGTATCGAATAAAATACCGAAAAATGTTTTCAATTGTATTTCATTTTCTGTTGAGAATGGGTGTTATGTTTGTGGGGGGTTTTGTTGCCAACAGTGCCCGAAGCTCCATTAATTTCAGGACAAACATGAAAAAAACTCGGATCTTCCAATGATGACCCAAGCCCAAATGCTCATTCTTTAATTCTCTAAGCCTGCCGTCGAACCCAAAAGCTTGATCCTTATTCTACAACTATATATATAACCATATATATTATAGCCTTATGATTGTTATTCTTTATTTATTTCAGCACAGTATATATGATATTGTTATGATGGAGAAAAGTCCAGCAGCTTCCGCCAAGGATTGGAGCATTCAGCTTGAGAAAAGCCTCCGATCAAAGGCACCAGGTGACCATCTTTTGATTACCAATATAGTTTTCTTGTTTCAGCTCTTGGTCTTGGTACTCTTATTTGAATAAAATTCTTTTGCTTTGCTCTTTAATCAGGAAAATCAGTTGAAGCGCTAGAAGAAATTGGCATTCGGCTCCAGAGGTGGAATAGTCAGCCAGAGCTATCTTTTGCAGAGTACAGAATGTTTGGCCTAATCTCCGGAGAGGATAAGCTGTTCCTCAATGCAATCTTCCTGCGTCTTGGGGATGCATTTAGGTTGGGCGACAAACAAATTAAAAGAAGTGTCGTTAACCTTTTCTTGAAAATGAAGAGGAGAGAAAGAGGTGAGGAAGGTATTCTGAGCAAGGGTAAACTGGAGAATTACTTGGAATTGTTGAGGAGGGTGAAGGAAGTGTTTGATAAAGGTGATGCTGAAGAAAGGACATTAGCTTTGCTCTTGTTGGGCTCCTGGGCTCATTTCACGAAAGATTGCCCGGATATACGATGTGATGTGCTGTCGAGTTTGGTGACAGGTGATGTTCACGAGGTTAGATTCCAAAACACTCAGCATCTCTTAAGTCAGTTTATGCTTATAGATAGTGAAATCGAATGCAGTTTATGTATAGTTGTTATTTATACAGTGAATATACTGAAGAAATATGTTGCCGTGCGATCTCAACATCCCATCTTTCAAATTAAATGTGCTAATATTATTATTTAGTTTGTTGCGGGATCTATTACCATCTATATGTTGAGTTGATGTCCTTAGATAGAAACTTCAGGCGTATACAACAACAACAACAACATAGCCTTTAGTCCCAAGCAAGTCGGGGTAGGCTAGAGATGAAACCCAAGAGAAACACAAAAAGACTCGGACCAAAAGGAAGAAATAAAAAAAAAAAGAAAAAAAAGAACGAGAGAGAGAGAAAGGAGCAAAAGTCACGGTTCTGGCACGTTGATAGCGAGCCTCCAAGCGCTCCTATCCACCGCTAAATCTTTGGAGATATTCCAGTCTTAATTTGTCCATTGAAATGGAGCCGGAAGAGTCATTGTTGACAATTCTCCTGGCATAGTGCTAACAGTGGACTAGATCAAAATGGCTCAACTAAATTCTAGTGCTTCTTCTATTAGTAATAGAAGTTTCTAGAAAAAAAAATATATCAAACGGCGCAATGCACCTTGCGTCGCTACGGAAACAGCCTCCTTGTATAATTACAAGGGTAAGGTCTGCGTACAACTGACCCCCCAGACCCCAACCTGTTGGGAATATACTGGGTATGTTGTTGTTGTTGTTGTTGTAAGGTCTCTCTTAACCGACTCTTCCCAAGTGAGTTTAGACCGACCTCTACCTCTCTTAACATCCTCGACCCGCTGTAGAACTCCCCTACGCACCGGTGCATTAGGTGTATGGAAATAAGAAAAAATGTAAAATATCATATCACACATTTGCGACGTGGATCTGAGGTTTTGAAACGAGTCATTTATGGAAAGGACTAAAGAGCACTTCAACTGCCACTGGCTAGATGGCTGAAGCTGAACTGTTCCAATTTTTTAGCAGGAGATTTGTAGTTTCCTGTTTTTCTGATTTTGTTCGCTGCAGTTCAAAGATTTTATGGATACAGAAATGTTATAAAGTGATCTCTTAAAGATTTTTGAAATTCTATGCTCAGATAAGGGATTTAGAGTTTTTGCATTCTAATAAATGATCTTGAGTATCTTTTGTTGAATCAATAATTTTATATGTAAGAAGTATCAACCTATTTTAAATATGTAATGTTGTTGTTGGTTGAGCATGTACTAACTCATTCGACGAGAATTCGGATCTCATTTCTAAAACCTATTTCCTTAATAGAAAAAATCTGTCACCACTGTCTTCACTTCAGGTGAAGGCCGCTTTATTTGCTGCAGGATGCTTGTCTGAATTGTGTGAGGACTTTGCCAGTGTGTTCTTGGAGATACTTACGACAATGGTTCAATCACAAGATATATCAGAAGACATAAAGTTGGCTTGCGGGAGAGCATTTGCTAAATTGTGGTGCCCATTTTCACTAGCACAAAAGGCATACAAGGTCCAACGTCTTTCCACTTTGATATATTTGGGTACTCATTGTGCTAACTGTGCCATGACATGGATCTTTCTTACAACCAACACAATTTGATCAATGAGCTGGTATTTTAGTAAATAGTAATTATTATTTATGCAGCACGAATGCTTTGAAAAAAAATGAAGTATCAGACAAGAAAAAATGTCTATTATCTATAATTTTTTTCTCCTTCTGAGAATATTAACGAATTAATGGGTATTTAATTGGTACTAAAGGCTTGTTAATTTTGAGGTCAAAATACAGGGAGTGTTTCCGTGTTTCTATTTGTTAAGATGATTGATTTCTAGACTTGTTTGAATTTTATGTTGCATGTTGTTTTGAAACTCTTGTGTCTTGTTATGTATTAATGATGCTTCACTCTAATTTAGTTGTGGAGAATATTATACGATGATGCTGTATTTTTTCGTTCATGGTTTGATGTGTAGGAGAGACTTATAAAAATTATAGCTTTCTAAATTAATTGGATGAAAATATATTATGTAAATATTATACTTTAACAGTAGCCGTATTGTGTCATAATTTTATTAACTTTGCCTTATATTCATATCCATGTTATGTTGCAGCCGATACATATTATAAGGAACAGCTGCAATCATGTTGAAAATAAAATGTTTTTTTGCTAGGTGCAACAGTATGTTGATTGAACTAGATATATTATATTGATGTTCTTCAGATGTGCTTTAATGCGTGTTCATTTAGAGTGACAATTTTGTGTAGCCAGTCTTGAAAATTTTCCTTATAGACAGGTTTAAAGGTCCTAATGGATTCTTCAGAAAACTGCTTTTCAGCTCTGATGCTGATTTCACTTTCCAAGATTGCTTCTAGGTGGATGCTTCTAGTTCCTTCTCAGGTGCCTATTCTGCCTTTTGATTTTTCTGATTTAAGCAATCACTTTCTTGATAAAGGTTTTTATTCCTGAATGGTAAACTTAGGCTAGTTTCAACCTCTGTCAGACCCAAACACCCGTGAAATAAAGTTGTATAATTTACTGAGAACAGAAGATTAAAGGAAAGGGCCACACTTTCAAACCCCAGAACAAAGCGAAATGAATAGAATTGTCAATTGTGGCACAAATATATAGAGGCATAAAAGATTTTTAATATGAAATATGTTGGATCTAGATATTTGGGCAGGATTATTGAACTTATTTATTGTATGATTTATTCTGCAATAATTGAACATTATCATTTCAACAAGCTTATGTCTAATCTGAGTAAGAGTAGAGTACGATGGTCAGAAACACAAGAAATCTGTCGAATCTGAGAAAGTTCAAACAAATGTAATATGTTGAAGAACGCCACAAATCATATTGATCTTTCGTGCTACAGTTTTTTCACTTCTTTCTTGCTTGTGTGGTGCTGTTATATATTTGATTGTAGGTAGAAGTGCTCTTTCTTTTTCTAAGTGAAGAGAGATCTTTGCACATACAAGCTACATCATTAAGATGCTGCCGCATCATATTGAATAACGGTGTATGTAGTGTTCCTTCAACCACAGGGACAATCTCTAAGTTACTTGGCATATTACACAGATCCAACCTTGAGCAGACGATACAGCTAGAAGCTTTAAGAGTCCTCCACAAGGTATTCCTATGCTCAAATTCCAGCAATTATTCCCTACTTACCTTTGCTGTTTTCTTACAGTATCCCACCCTATGCCATTTTGCAGATCCTTTTGTTTGATTTACCCATCATTGCATGCACAGAGATCCCGGAGATTTTTCTTGAGTTGTTGGCAATAATTAAAACCACGCTACATTCATCCCATACGTTAACCAGAGTTGTAGCTGTTAGAGTTTTAGCCGATCTTTCGGGAATAGTTTTGGGAAGAGTAGATATGGTATCATGTGGAGCTGGTTATGCCTTGGCATCGCAGGTGACTTCTTTTGTCTTGGATCATATCTTTTTCCTTATGACACCAAAAGCATCTTCTTTTTATCAGGATGATATTGTTGTGGAGCTTGAGGTTAAAATCTTGCTCAGCCCTTTATTTAATCTGGTTGAGAATCATCCGTACCTCCATTCTCTAGTGCTGAATAATTTATGCTTGTTCATGGATAAATTTATGAAGATGCTTGACGCAGTTAAGGACCTAGATTTGAAAATGCTGTCGGAGTCAAATATCATGCTTCATGTATCCAAAATGATTGTGGCTTGCTTGCAAAATCTTGAAAATACCGATGACACACAAATGAGCCAAGTCTTGGAAGCAGTAAAACTTCAATCGCAAAACATATGCCATAGAAGCTATTTTGGTAGTCACACCAGTATGAGCTACTTTCTTTTACTGCACTTGCTTTCCACCTTTATCGGCATGCGGCATGCAGCACAGGAATTGGTATCTCCAAGTAGAAACTCAGATCTGTCTTATGCTGATTCCATATTTCAATCTGATAAACTTGCCTTTGAATGTGCAAAAATGAAGATGCTAGATGGGAATAATTACTGGTACTTGTACAAGGCTGGGATAACTGCTGCCTGCCAGGGAGCATGGTTTACATCTTCTTTCATATTCGAAGAACTTATTATGGCTGTTCAGTCTGCTTCCTGCTCATGCTGGTTGAAATTTTTGGCTCTGTACTCTATGGCAGAAAAGCAGATTCAGCTATATATTTTAGCTGACCAAGGGAATTCTGTTTCCTTTAGGCAAAATCTTCTCGCAGCTAGCAATACACTTCTCTCATCAAAGCAGATTCTTTCAACCTCTGACATGGATGAAATGTTCAGTTTCCAAACATGGTTTTTAACCCTCAGAGCTAATACCTTGAAAACTGTTGTTGATATGTTAAAGCTTCTAGACACGCCGCATCTATTCACAGCGACTTCTCATGCACTTGGTTCTTTATGTCACTCCTGTATTGAGGTCTCCCGCCGAATGTACAGCTTAGCTCAAGAATTTGACCTACTCTTGGCGTCTTTCATGGTTATGGACAGGCAGAGTGTGAAGAGTGTTTCAGCGCTCTCATTGAGTTGCTCGCTTATGGCCTTTGTAGCTGGTTTTGCCTTTCTAGCACCAAAAATGCATTCATTGGAAAATAATAGAATTTCGGAATTTAGTAACTCAGTCGACCCTCACCATGCATTGCTTATTGAAGATTTAATTTCACGAGTGACGCATGCCAACTGCAAGACTAGGGAAACTCTCTTGTTTCTTCAGAAGTCATTTCGCAACTGCAAGGGGTGTTTTTCTGGGTGGTCCCAGAACAGAATTACCTATACGTCATATGAAGCAATACTTTTGCACAAGCTAGCTGAGTATTGTATCAGGGAGATTATTGGGTTGGGAAATGAGGTGCAACAAGATGGCGAGGGGTTGTCTCGGATTCTTAATAATGGTACACAGCTGCTGCTGCAAATATTTTCAAAACTGATGTTGATTCCTTTTCGAACTCCTCGTCATTTCTTTCGAATAAGGTAATGTATAATTTATCCATTTAACTGACCTTGAAGACTGCATGCATCATACTATTTTGTGACGACTTTATTTTCCAATATATGATGCGATAAGTCTTATTTATATTACAAATTAGTAGTCAGTGTTCTTTTTTTGCCTGGCATACCAAGTTCTAAATTCTTAATTTTTCATGTAATGAGGAGTTGTGGGAAAGTTGTGATAGTAAATAGTGTGGAACACTAAAAACTGAGGAGCCAAAAATTAATTGGATCGCTAGACGTAGTATGACTGCCAATGAGGATTATCATAGCTGAATTTACTATAGCTTATTCTTTATATATATGTTTTTTCCTTTTTGGTTGTCCTTTTCAGTCTTGGGCTGCATATGGTATCTCACTAGTCACTACTCGCCATTCTTTTAGAAACTAATGGTTACCTCAACTATTCTTAATAAATGTTCGATTCTCTTTGAAGTGGAGGACCTGGTGGCCTATGCAGTTGTGCATGAAAATTTAATCTTAATAGTGTTGTAGCATAGGAAAATAAACCTCTATTTATTGGGATCTCAATGAGCTTTCTTGACATTCTCTCGATCCTGTAATGATCCAAACCCTATGAGATGCCTGGCATCCTGGGGATTCTTATCTATCATTGATTTATAAGTTAATTTGCACAGTTTTTGAATTACATATCGTGCTATTATCACCATAAACCAGAGAAAAGAAATCATGTCTTTTCCCTTATTCTAGCTGTCTGACGTTACTGAGTCCTCCATCATAAGCTACTGACTTTTCACCAAGATATCATTCTTAGATTATCTTTTTAATATTTTATCTGATATGCTTTAAATTTTCCATGTGAGTTCCATATTCAGTAAATATATCCGATGATTTAAAGCTGTCTGCCTGCAATTTCCAGGCCTGCTGTTTACTCAGAGATCCTCATGTTGAATGAAGATGGTCAAACGATTGATGGATCATCTATTTTGTCTGGAGTCCCTCTTTCTCTCAATCTGGGTTTTCAACTGAAAAACAAGCCGGTTGGCCCACCGGGCCCACTGAACAAAGCCTACTGCATTCTTAGTTTTACAGCACCTTCTCAGAAAACAAACGCGCAGGCCCAGCCGAACAGGCAGGATCAGGCATTCGATGATTTGATGGACTTGAATGAGAAGCTGTCTAGATATGTTGCAGGCTCAGTGTGTACTCATGGTCTTCATTGTGGAAGTCTCAGTAACCATTTGACAGTACACGAATATGTATGTTTCGAGCTCAACGAAAGTGGCCAAGGTTTCTCTACTTGCTTGCTCGATGTTTCCTCTTTTCCTAGGGGCACTTACAAAATCAAATGGCACAGTGGCTGCGTAGATAATAAAGGTTCTTATTGGAGCCTACTTCCCTTGAGCCATGGCCCGTTGCTCACCATCGATTGACACGACAAGTACCCAAAGTTTACCCGCAATCAGCTGATACGGCTTTTTTCTGTGATGTTCCATTTGTTATTTCACAAATACTGAGGGAAAATAATATTACGTGATGCGATGCGATGAATCAACGAAATTATTCGGTAAAAGTCAATTTTAACTTGATGCTGTTTGGTTTTTAGTTTTTCTAGTCAAATTTTTTCTTTTTTGTTTTTGCTTTTGTTTTGTTGTCTTTGTTTTCACTTGATGAATTGGTTGTACTTTAGAGGGCTGGTTGATGCACACACTGAATACTCCATCTGGCTGCTTTTAATTAAAGAGTTTAACGAAGAACTCGTCGAACAAGGGACTAGAAATGATTGGAAATTCTCTATGCTGCAAAGTGGAACCTTGAATATTTTCTGTTACTGTACCACCATGAGGAGAAAGCTCCTGCACCTCTGGCTAAATAAGGTCTAGCTCCTGCTTCTCCAAGGATGATGAATGAAGTGATGATTCTGATTCTTCATCTGAGAATGATAGTTTGGGTGCAGATATTACTGCAGCAAAGAAAGCTCCTTCTGCCGTGAGTCAAAAAGAAATCTGAAGTGTACAAAGAAGAAATATGAATCTAGCAGTGAGGATTCCAACTCTCCTGGAGATGAGCCTTCCTAAGAGGGTCCTGAAGAAAACAAGTGCTCTGGGTCTGAGTATTTGTTCGTGGATTTGATAGAAATGGCGGTGAAGATCAGGTACTTATTGCGCACTAACTAAATTCACATATTTTTCTGTTGTGCAGCCCCTTTAAGTTATCCATTGGAATCTAATAACACTTCTAACTTGCAGATCACGAGCTCATTGAAAGATCATTTTGGTTCTTGTGGTGAAATTGCAGGAATTTCCATTCCGCAAGATCCAGAGGGTGGGTGTTAAAGGGTCTATTCTATTCATTCCACATTGATACTGAAAATTCTACATGCCCTTGCCTTTTCAAATTTAGGTCAATATATATTATCCTCATCATCATCATCATCCAGTGTAAAAAATTAATATTGTTCTCTTAATTATCGAGTCACTTAATTCATTACTTATCGTAATTTGTAGTGTTTACCCTTATATACGTTACAAGTAACTTGACAGATCCATCGATTTTATGTAATGTTTCTATTCTACCATTCTATGCTCTGTTAGCTATTAGATTATGATATTTGTGTTCTGCTTTCAATACCTTTTGAAATGCTTTGGGGGCGATTGGATATAATTTCTAAAGTAAAAAAAATCAATCAAAACTCAAATTTTACTCAACTTTAATTCAATTTCACTATCCGCAAAATTATTAATATAATTAAATAATATTAACCAATCATTCTTACACATCACCACAACTTTAATTCACTATTTATCCACTCACATAATTTTAGCTAACCATCATTTTCAATCATTCTTTTCTTACTTTACATCAAATCAACTTTAATTATTTTATTTAAATATTATTTTAATATATTCACTAACAACTAACCATATCATTTTTTTTTTAAAACTTAACTGTAGTTAAAAAAAAACAAATAAAAATTAGTTGAATCCATAAACGATCACCGCAATTGTAGGGATTACTTCTTTCAATTTTTTGCATTCTAAGATCTGTTTTGTGCAATATATTGTGATTTCGTGGATATAGTATAGCATATTGGAATGCCTTCAAGCAGGCTCTGGAAATGAATGGGACTTTGCAGTGGGCACCCTTTCGGTTGAAGGAGCAAAGTTCAGAGGCAACTTTGGGTGATATTTATAACCGATCTACTTCATGTTTTTTGATCTGTATGGTTATAGTACATTATGATATTTATGATGACTTGAAGGATGATTTTTCTCTGCTTTTGTACTGTTGTGATTGCTTTGCTGATGAATTTTTTCTCTAAGCGTTGCCACGTGTTATGGTAGTAAAAGAAAAATGATAAAACTCCACAAAAGCTTATCAGATCACCCACCAGACACCGCCGCCGTCTTAGCCGCCATCATCACTGTTCCAAAATGGCGGCTGGCAATTACCGGTGTAGGGATGCCTTGCCCCTCGAAATTGAGTCAAACTTCGGTCGGTCGCCGACGTAAGCGTTGTGGTTCATAACACATGGCAACGCTTAGAGAAAACCATTTTAAAACCATTTTTCTTTTCACAACCATTGAGTCAAAATGGTTGTGATTGTCGTTGTATCTTTGTGAACAAGAAGCACAAACCTGTTACTACCATACGAGCGTATTTGTCTTGCGAAAAAAGATCTTCTTGCCTCGACTTTAACTTTTTTGTATACTGTAATTTTTACTGAACACTTCAGTTCATAAGATTCCTTTATAATTTGACTCTCAATTTTGTAACATTTTTTAAACACAATAATTAATCTCCAAAAGCTACTATTAACGAACCACAAATACGGTAGCTNATTTGTTGTGCATGATATTGGCCCGCAACAAAATCCTGGGCCCGCGACAAAAATAGGCTAATCTTGAATATGTGAGATAAATTAATCTCCCCGCAGACCCCATGATTCAATCTATCTGTACAGTCCAAAACAGATGAAATGACCATTTAACCCTAAAAAAGGCACGGGAAAATTACGTAACTGCAAGTAGTTTACTTTTAAATTCGAAATAATAATAACTGCTCATTATTCATATCACATTCACTCACATCAATATTTGAATGTTTAAAAATAAAAAACCACCCTTAAAAATAATACGTATGTCTGCAAAATTGAAAGAAAAAAAAACAAGTCCATAAAACATAAGAAAAAAAAGCATCGAAAAAATGAAAAGAAATATTAAAATAAGGAAGAATTTGACAAAGAAAAAAAGGAATTTTGCATCAAATTAAGCTTGAAAAAGAGAGATGGAAACGAAAATTCAAATTTGTACCTTATACTAAATCTGGAAAAAATGTAAGTATTTAATTAATGTTTTATAATATACAAAAATATTAATGAGAAAAAATAAATTAATTGATTTAATACAATTATTTTTTGTTTACAACTGATTGGAGAATCTTAAAAAAAAACCTAGAAATACACTTAAGAATATAAATAATAAATACAAAAAGAAAAAATAAAAACAACCAGTAAACAACTACAATATTCACTGAGTTCAAAAAAAACAAAAAAAAATTCACTGAACGCAATAAAAAAATACTATCTCACACCAAAATACAAAAAATTGTTCTTATCTGTTCTCCTCGAGTATGACAAGCAAATTGAAAAAATCTAAATTCAACTCAAACACCTCTCAATTGCAATTGAAATGAAGCTTCAATATAACCATGTCACATCTAACTAGGGGCACTTATAACCACACCACTCAACACAAATCTTTGTCTTCGATCGAGATTTTTCTTTTATTCCAAACGGCACACGAAGAAGCAGGTAGAAATGGTCAGACTCCTCCGTTCGATGGCATGTTCTTCTTTCATTTGTTTCTAAATTTCATTTTTTTTGTGTGTGTTTTTTTGCAGAGTTGTGTGTTGTGTTATATAAGATCAATATTTTTTTTTATTTTCTTTTTGAAGTTCTCTCTTAACCCTAACCCTAACCCACAGAACAGTGCATTTTGGATAATTAAAATTTCGGATGTTGCACAGGGAATTAGGAATGTTGAAGAAAAGAACATCAGGGGCACTTTAGTCAATCTATACCTTAATCTAACTTATTATCATGCCTAACAAATGTAGGTTATATTTTTATCCATTCTTAACCAAAGCACAAATCATGCAATGCAAACATTGGAACACTTTTATCTTAACAGTGCAATCCGGCCACAAGTGATAAAAATAGTCTAATCTCATCTTGGAAACCAAATGTGCTCTTACAATTTTGTACTGTTCACATTATTCTTTACGAGGCGGACTAGCGGAAAAAATTCATCCATCATAGGATTCTCTGTGTTCCGTTGGATATTAATATATATGTTCCCCTGCAGCCACATCTATTGTTTATTCTTTCCTTTTCTTTGTCTATGAAATTGATTCGATTTTGTCATATTAATTTAACAACTAACTTATATATTTACCAACGTGGTAATTCCATAATAGTCTTGACTAATATAATCCTTAAGTTGTATTGATACATTTAGTAATGGTATTGATTGTTTAATATAACATTGATTTGTTTTGGAAGTTCTCAATTGGCTAATTAATTTCCATGAAAACCTCAAATTAGCCTAATAAATACACATATATAATATAGTACACGGGTATTTTACAAGTTATGATTAAACTAGAAAAGTTTGCACAATTTTAGAAGTTTATGTTCAGTGAGCAAAAAACTATCTTATGCAATGGAAGAAACGTTAAAAACAAAACTAAAGTGATCGAAAAAATTTAGATAAATTTTATCGAATATAAGTTCATCACAAACAGTCAGAACAAACTAATTAAAAAAAGTTATTGAGAGAATATGGGATGAGTAATAGTATCGAAACGGGATGACTTTCGCCTCTTTGTAACGTGACGCAACACAAGAAATTAAAATAATTAAATATTCCTTCTTTAATAGGTGTCTGTTTTTTTTTCGAAACGAGATATATTTATAGGTGTCAATGTGTCATGTTCAATACATCTCCATTTTTTTTCCTTTTTCTTCTTAAAATCCTTGTGTATCTTTATATTTCACATATTAAAAGCCTTTTTCAACAATAATAATTAATATATTTTTGAAACATTATTAAACCTTAATTCAGGCAAACTAAGGGGGTGTTTGTTTTATAATTTATATAAATTCATACCCAAAATCTAACTCAACTTTAATTCAACCCTAATATCTTCAATATTATAAAATCTAACTCAACTTTAATTCACACCATCAGTTTTAATTTACTATTCATGCACTCAAATAATTTTAACTAGTCATCACTTCACGTAACCTCTCTCCTACTTTTACATCAATCAACTTTAATTATTTTATTTTAAATATTATTTTAATATAAAAGAAAAATTACGCTAAAAGCTAACCATACTACATTTTTTTTAAAGTTAACTCTGGTTATCCAAAAGAAACTCGTTTTGAACGGATATTTTTGTATCCAAGTACGCTCTGAATAATTGTAAATCACCCGTTCTCTCCCAAACAAAAAACCCCCGATTCTCAAACCCTCGTCGTTGCTTCTTCGCTGCGCAACCGTCGGGTTCTCCACTTCGATGCGGAGATGATCGACGCCTAGGTGAATTCCTTTTTGCTGCCGGTTTTGGTTCTAGTTCCCAATGTGGAGTTGTCCTCTCGGTGGGCTACTTTAGTGGAGATTTGCCAATGACTGGCGTGCAATTTTGTTTTCTCGAGCGCCGCTTGCCGCTTTCCTGGTGGAAGGTGCTAGGTCGACGCTAATACCTTTCCCGAATTCCATCTTTTCTCTAGGTGGCGAAGGAAGGTCTCCTTAGGCGGGGACTCTGTTTTGCTTTCGGTGGAAGCGGGTCGTGCTCGCCGGTGTTGTGTTTGAGGAGAGGATGGTGATCGGTCTCCAGGCTTTGTTGTTTGTTGTCTGGTGGTGTTGACTGGGGAAGGAGGTTTCAGTTTGTCAGCCCCGATCTAGTTAGCCTTAGTCGTTTTTCAAGAGTTGCTTGGTGTTTGTCTCCGGGTGTCTTCTTCATGCGTTGGAGTTTTGGAGTAGCAAGCCGGCCATGCAGTGAGGAGGGTTGTATTTGTTTGTATTAGTATTTTCTATCTTTTAGTAGTGTCTTATGTGTTTGTTTTGTGTTGTTGTTTTGTTGTAGTATGTTCTTGTTTTGTTGTGTGTTTTTTTGTTTTATGTGTTAAGGTCTAGCCTTAGGGAGTGTTTGTGTCTCCCATTTGGAGTGATTATTTCTCCCATTAGGAGAGTGTTGTTTGTGCCTAGTCTTTTACACATCACATCAACCTTAATTCACTATTCATCCACTCACATAATTTTAACTAACCATCACTTCAAATCATCTCTCTCATACTTTTACATCAAATCAACTTTAATTATTTTATTTTAAATATTTTTTTAATATACCCACTAACAATCAACCATACCACCTTTTTCAAAATTAACCAAATCAAACCAAAAAATCCAAATAAATCCAAAAACTTTATATCCAAGCATCCTCTAAGTATTGTTATTGGGCAATTGGTTGTAATCTTTTGAAGGTTTTTAATATATCAATCGTTTGGGAAAAAAGGAAAAACATTATTAAACCATGCTCCAATATTCTTTTTGACACACATTTTTTTCAGGAAAAACGAGAGAATGTATTAGTTACTTTCTTTGTCCAAGAATGATAAGCCAGATTAAAAAATAAGCCATTTCATAAATTAATTATTATAAATATATTGAATTTTTTTATAGTTGAAATCAAAGAAAGAGATGGTGAGTAGATTCGAAGGCCCAGATCGATCTTGTGGTAGGTCCGATGCTTGTGGTAGGTCCGAAGGCCCAGATCGATCTTCTTGACGGCGCCCCACATGCCTTGGCGGATACCGAGCTTGGCAATCTCCCGAGGGATGCCCATGTCTTCGTGATGGAAGAGTATGACTTGGCATGCGGTCGGTCGACCGTCTCTCTTTGACTCGGCTGAAATTCGAGAGAGAGAGAAGAATGATATTTAGTAATTAATTAAAATTATGAAAATCATTTTATTTTTATCAAAAATCCGAGGATAATAATATATAAAAAAAAAAAAAGAGGAATTGAAAATGTTAGTTATAAACGTGAACAACGTGTTCCAATAAAAGTTGGTCAAAGGGCAACCGAACAAGTAGTTTTTTTGTGGAAGGGAATTAGATATTATGTAATCCTCCTGTATATATAATTCCATAATAGCTGAGCCTAAGTGGCAGACTCGCACGTTTTGGAATATGTGGCAAATTTTTATGTTTTGTCATTTACTTTGGATAGATTTTAAGTTACTTCTAATCCAAAAACAACTAGGCCTGGAATAGCCATAAATATACTAGATCCTTTGAATTGCATTAATATTTTCATATAATTTTCTATTCTAAAAGTGGTTTATAAGGCATGATATTTTATCCCGGTCTTTCTCTTTTCTTCGGTCTTTCTTTTAAAATTATAAAAAAAGTAATAACTTAAATTATAAAAACATTTTTAGAGTTAATAATTTTTGTGTTTATTATAATTTTTTTAATATAATATAAATTAATCATCTAGATATGAGATTCGATTTAACAGTTATATTATATATAAACAGAATAAGTAAATAATTATATTTGACATTATAAATTATTTGGAAAAAAACAAATTATTTAAATTAATTTAACAAAAAGTAGTTATATTTTCAATAAAAATAATAATATATTTTTTTTTCAAAAAAAATATAAATAATGACATCAGTCGTGTAAGAGACTAATGTCATTTTCAATATAAATAATAATATATTTTTTCAAAAAAGCATTTAAAATTCAATTTTTTATTATTTTCTTAATTTTAAGTATAAAGGAACACCCGTGTACTAAACGGGTATTGTACTAATCTTTCACTAAATTCTTGTCATTTTCACCTATGAGTTATTGCGATGAAATGAAAATAACCTGTGCGAATGAACCAGCTTGAGTAGTACAAATCAACGCGTCTTGGTTTGTTACGACGTGGAACAGAAGAGTTCGGCACACCCTATTACAGTATTTCAGTCAAAAATAAATGTCATCAATAAGAATATTGATTGATGTATACAATTGAAAGAGAAATAAAGTTTAATAAGTATTTTCATTTTCAGACTAATTGAATTAGCAACCCTAGGAGCGAGGACCACAATTGACTCGACAAAATAGAAGTGAAGGATATTTGCCACCAATTGCTACTCTCAACATTTCAATTTCAATATCAGATGCCCCAAACAAAACATAAACTAAAAGTAAATTTATACCGACAAACAATTCTTTGGTACAAAAACATAAAACAAGACTTTCCGAGTATTGTCTAATTCATTTCTACATCAAACAAGACTCAGAATTGTCGAACTTCCCCAACTTTGAGAGGTAAACCTTAACCAGTATCATTACCAATCCAAGAATAATATTTTTACAGCCCTTACATACAACAATTACATAACCATCTTTACCACGTTATTTTTTATATTACCACACATTAAAAATGCTCAGGCATTCATTCATTTTCATCAGGCACTTCAAACTTGAACCCAGAATCTCCAAGACTGCACTGATATGAAGCGTGTGCTCGTAGAAGTCCACTAGAGTTTGAACCCAGAATCTCCAAGACTGCACTGATATGAAGCGTGTGCTCGTAGAAGTCCACTAGACTGCATTGATATGAAGCATGTACTCGTAGAAGTCCACTGGATGGTCCGATGTGACCCCATACATGCGGACAAAGTGTAAACCGTGATACTGTTCGCATCAAGATACAAAACATGCATTGAGAAATTAATCTCATGACGAATGTAGAACCAGTACAACTTCTCAACAAGGTAGGATACCGATGGCTTGTATCTTGCCCAATGGACCGGTGGGAAATCATCAACGCGGTTCCGTAGCTGCCTGCTAACTCTGGCTCCATAGATGACGGCACTGATGGTATACGCCCAACAATTGGCTTAAAAAAGAGGTTAAGGAAAGAACGTTTAACTACTAGTATGAATAAATCCTGCACGGGTAAAAGATATTCAATAATATTTATAAATTAAAAATTTATATTAAGTAATATTTATAAATTAAAAATATGGAATCAATATGTAATACAATTACTTTAGGCGTGAAATCAATTTTTTTTTTTAATTTTTTTGCTAATTTTTAGTTGCTATTTGAAGTAAATGTCATTGTCTCTTTATATATTAATATATATTGCAAAGCATAGAATTACTTGTGTCTCCTTGATCTACTACCGGCAACAGACAGTGTCTGCCAACGAATGCCGTCAGGGCTGATTTGTAAGATGGAACCGCACCGATCGATACTTCACTACCCTGACGGCATTCGTTGGCAGACACTGCCTACTGCCGGTGGTAGATCAAGGAAACACAAGTAATCCTATGCTTTGCAATATTTATTAATATATAAAGAGACAATGATATTTACTTCAAATAGCAACTAAAAATCAACAAAAAAAATAAAAAAAAAAACATTTGATTTCTCACTTAAAGTAATTATATTACATATTAATTCCATATTTTTAATTTATTAATATTACTTAATGTGAATTTTAATTTATAAATATCTTTTACTCGTGCAGGGACTCGGACTCATACTAGTAGTTAAACGTTCTTTCCTTAACTTTTTTTAAAGCTAATTGTTGGTCGTATACCATCAGTGTCGTCATCTATGGAGCCAAAGTTAGTATCGAGCACAGGCAGCTACAGAACCGCATTGATGATTTCTCACCGGTCCATTGGGCAAGATACAAACCATCAGTATCCTACCTTGTTCAGAAGTTGCACTGGTTCTACCTTCGTGGTTCTACCTTCGTCATGAGATTAATTTTCTCAATGGATGTTTTGTATCTTGATGCGAACGGGGCAGTGTGTATCACGCTTTACACTTCGTCCGCATGTATGGAGTCACATCGTGGAATCATTGGAAGTGGAATCATTGTTCCAGTCGTGGAGCACTCCTTCAAGGTCTCGGCATGTATCAGCATATCGTCCCATTTTAATCTAAATTCATCGTCCCAAAAGAAATCCCTCACCATTTCTGGTGTTGTATCTTCGTAGACTGTTCAACTCCTATACTGAGGAGGTCCAGTCTACAAGAAACCCAAAGAAAAAAGTTTACCCCAAAACTCATTTCAGCATCATAATCATCAAGAAAAAATGCTAACAAAACTCTGAATCAAAACGAAAGGAGTATATAAACTATTGCTGCAAAGTGGAAGTATTTTATTGACCTAAAATGAAATAGTCTACCTCAGGATCCCTTCTCCAAGCCTGATAGCTCATATTTGGTGTGGACCTCTCCATCATCTTTATCCAAGAAGGGCCTCCATCTTTTTCTTCAACTAATCTATGCAAATGTCTCAAATCATCTTCATTCACAAGGCTCGATTCCTCATTTTCTGCTACGGGCGAGCTGAAAGGAAGATAAACTCACATTAATTCAGCTACAATAGACTCATACAAGCATTTCAATACTTCACAACAAAAAAACAAATAAATAAATAAATAAACATCTAAAAGTAATGATGAAAACCTTATATCAGAAACTTAAGGCAAGGGTGAATTATCCTTTTCGAGCCCATCATCTGAAATCCAAGAAAAGCACCAAGCTGGCAATTGAAGTTTGAACAAGCTCAAGCTCGGGACTAAAGCAGAAAACTGTGGAAAAGTGTAATAAATTCTTGATTTCTTTGACATTATTTTATTCAAAGTATAATCCAGAAAATCCGGATTCAGATTATCGGCCCATTTTGGCCTCCACACCCAACCCACCAAGACGCCGACAATAACAGCCGCCCAAATTGGCGCCGTGAACTCAAGCAGCTCAAAAATCACATCTCCAATTGTGGGCCTTCGCAAAATCTCAAGAAAAGCGGCAAACAGAGCCATTATTACACAACAGGATGAGAAATCAAAAGGAGAAACAAAATCCCAGGTGAAGAAAATCAATTTTTCGAACAAAAAAGGAAGAAAAAAAGAGAAACCCTCGACCCAATCGGATTAAAGATTCAACCTTTAAGACGCGTAAGGGGGAAAAAAGATAAACCCTTCAACTACCAAATATAGACGGAGATTATAAAAACAAAGGGAAGAATAAGAATATTGAATTCGATTAGACAGATCTACAATTATATGCACAGATCTACAATTATATGCACAAACCAAATGGGAATAAAGAAAGGGGAACAAATTGCAGAAGAGTAAACGAAGAAGAACCCAAATATATAGGGTGAGTT